TGCCCAAAGAGGACGAGACCACCCGGACTATCCTCAAACGTGCTGGTATTACATCTTGGACCGACCTCCCTTCAAGCCTTCAATTCACCGAATCATCGCTGACGAGTCGAGGTATGCACCCAGCTCTCGCCTCACATCTCCTCAGTGAGGCTATGGATCGTTTAAATGCCCTCCAAGACGATATTGACGAATCACCAGATGAAGAACAACCCAATGATGATGAACTTGATGATGAAGACAATGGAGACAGTACCCCTTCCACCCCGCCTCGCCATGGCTCCTCCGAGTTATGAATGATTGCCTATTTATTGTAACTCCCCAGTCCCCTATTTGTTTACTGACACCTTCATCATTGAGTAGCTCCGCCTATGTTTACTCGCCGTGTCTTTCTGCTTAAGCTACTTCCGTCTGTTGTTTCCCGGCTTCGTCTGGCTTTGTTTCCTGGCTTCGCCAGTCTTTGTTTCCTGCCTTTATCCGTCTTTGTCTGCTGGGTTTGTCTGTCTTTGTTAACTAGCCCCCAGTTTGTTAACTCGTCCTCATGACTCACTAGCTCTGTCTGACTTCACTATCTCCCTCTGTGTTAACTGGCTCACTGTATGTTAACTTCCTTTTTGCGGCGTCGAAATTTTTCAACGTTACCTTTGTTTTTGTTTGACGACGCAAAGTATCTATTTTTCCTTGCAACACCTAAAGGCCTGAGGCAAACGAGCGCACCAGGAGAGAAAGTTCATGATGAGCTTTCCAAAACGAAAGTTTTTGAGCCCAAAAAAAGTCCGTTGTTCAAAGAAATGGAACAACGGTTAGGAATCAATTTTGGGAAGATCAAAGGTGTTTCCAAATAACAGAATACCTTGTACCCAGTCAAAGACGTGGTTTGGGTTCCAAACCACGTATTTGATTGTTTCAATAACATGCTCACCACTACTCATCAATCAGGCAAACCAAAAATCTATTGGTTCAATGAATGGGACATATTTTATGACCTTCAATTTCAATTTATAATTTTTTAAAAAAAACAATAACATTCAAAAATTTCACGACTTGACAATGTAAAAGCTCACATTCAACGCACGCAGGCCGGTTTATCAAAACATAACGTTTGAAATACAACAAAATTGTTAAACGAAAAAATTGGTTCATAACATGAAACAGTGTATGGGCCGTGTTTAATTTAAGACTTGAACACTCAGTATTTTCCAGACCGTGTTTGAATTTATAATAAATGAGATACCAAAAAGTGATAGTAAATATTGAGAAATTGACATTATAAGATTTAGACCGTCTTTGAATGACCAAGTTTGTAATTTCCTTTTGAATTTATATTATAAGATTTTGGACGTGTTTGATTGATCAAGTTTGTAATTTCTAGACGGTGTTTGACTTAATAAAATTAGATATTCCAGAGTTGCGAGAAATGTTTTTAAATCGGAAATAAATTGATGAAATTTATAAGTAACCACTTCCTCTGAAAAAACCTTCGCATAAATCATCAGTAAATAAATCCATACATGCAATGAATATGGATGCTTTCTCATCATCAAGACTCAGAGCCTGCTGCAAAGCCTGAGAACGCCTAAGTCTCGACTTTAAAACGGAAAAGCCCTTTTCAATCGGATTGAAATCTGGGCTGTAGGCAGGTAGATAAATCAACCTGACCCCACGCGCAGCACATAACTCCTCCACTCTTCCACCATGGTGGATAGGAGCATTGTCCATTACTAAGACACTGTTCCGAGCTGGGAGCTGATTCATGGCGGGCAGCTGAGCCAGAGAGTGAGTCATTAATACGAGTCAGTCAACAGTATTATTTTCAATTACAAAACAAAGTATGTACCAAGTCTCGTTCCAGAAAACCCTCAAAATCCACGCGGGAGTAGCCACCAGGCTGAACTGAGACAGCTACCATCCCGTCCATAGAGATCGCCGGGAGTGCAGACCATCGGCACGCTTGAGTAGGCCTCTGGAGGCGAGCCGAACGTTGACCAATCGGGGCGCGTGCGTGGGTACGATACAATTGTCGTTTGGAAATGGCAGTTTCGTCTTTCAGATGTGACAAAGTCAGTCAGCGTGCACAATCTCAAGGAATCAAATCAGGGAAGAAAGGACTTACCAACGAATACCAAACACCGAGGATCAATTTGCGAGATCTCCTCAATATAGGCGCCACGAGCCCTCACAGATTGGTTGGGGTGAACTGTGCGGCCCTTTTTCCGAGTCCAACCTAGGCGAGTACGAAGTTCAGTGGAGAGGGTCTTCAGGCAGACCGTCTTTCCGAACTCTTCTCGAACCTTCGCCTGGAGCTCGTCGAGGTAAAGTGTCGGGTCAATTTCAAGGGCTTGTAATACGAAGTTTTTCTCGGGGTCTCCTAGAACGGATGGAGCCCCATCCCTTGCGTGGTCCAAAGGATTCGTGACCACAGCACGAGTTGTCCGATACAGATCGAACCATCGGCGGACAGTGGTGAGTGAGAGGTCTATACCTGTCGTGCGTACAATATCGGGGAAGGTCTTTCCTTGGAGAACCATGCGTACCACGATGAGTTTGATATCGGTGCTATAAAGATTTTTTGGCATATTGCTTATTGAAGATGAGATAGATAGATTGTTGAAAGGAGGTGAAAGATAAAGAGTCGGTTGATGATTTTGAAATAGAACCAAATTGAATAGATGGTTGAAATGGGGTGGTGAAAGATAAAAAGTCGAGTTGGTGATTTTGAAACAGATCCAAATCAGACCGTCAATTTGCTTGAGGATGAAGGAAGGAAACCAAATTGGGGGATGAGTCGAAAGAGGGAGTAGTTAATGCATGTAGAGAGAGAGAGAAGAAGGGTTTTCTTTTCCAAACCCTATCAAGCCTAGTGTGAGAGCCACCGAGTCGGAGAAATGTCCAACAATACGCTTTAATCTCACGGTAAGCAAGGTCAAAAAGCAGTTTTGTTCGTTTTTGCCACTGTTGGATTAAATCTCGACACGACACAAGACACGAAAAACTTACCAATAGTTCTTACAACAGCTGTAATTAGAGCTCGTCCGGCGTCGGACGCATCTCTAGCAGTCGCTGTGTTATCCAAAGAACTCTTGAGTAAAATCTTTTTGGTACGGGGAAGAAGTTTATTTCTGGTTACAACCATAAATGATCCCAAACATATTTTTTTAACAACAATTATGTACTTTGCAAAAGAATTAGGGCCCGTTCGGTTGCCGTCAACCTCGCAGGTTGACCCAGCCAAAAGTTGAGGCGTACGCTTCAAGGCAGTTTGAAGCGTACGCCTGGGTGTTGAGGTGTTCGGTACACCCTTTTGGAAAAAGGGTGAAGCGTACGCCCGGCAGGTCTACCAGCCAAAACGGTCGACCTGCCAGGTTGACCGTTTTGCCACATTCTTGCAGGTTGACCTGTCTACTACCATAGACCTGGCTTCGGCGAAGTTCCACAATCGTCGAATCTGATGTTGGAGGATGTTGGAGTGAAACGCGTGAAATTTTTCATGAGATCGTTGTTGGATGCAATAATACATACATACAAAGTACGATTCCTCGTCCACAACATGCCCTCAAGAAAGAAAGAAGATGTTCAAAAGACAGAAGACATTCATACTCCAAAACTCACCGCAAAATGGACCGATGAGGACGTGTCAAAAATGGTTGATTTCCTCTTGAAAGAGAAGGAAGCGGGGAAGATGTCTGACTCGGGCTGGAAGAATGAAACATGGAATCAGTGTGCAGAGGCACTCAAAGGAACCGAGCGAGTTGGCAGCCTTAAGAAAACATGGCTCCAGTGCCAGAACAAGTTTACAAAGGTATTGTTGATTGTATCTCATCACGCTGAATCACATAAAGCTGACTTTGTGGTTCTTTGTGGGTAAAACTGTTTTTAAGTTGAAGTCAGATTTTAGGGTCGTGAATGAACTCAGCAAGAAGAGTGGAATGGGCTGGTGCCATGTTGATCAGACGTTGCAAATATCAGAGAAGGTGTGGAAGGATCTGGTTGCAAAAGACCCAAGCCGAGCAAAATGGGCAACCACACCGTTTCCACTCTTTGATAAGATGGAAGCGCTTGTTGGCAAGATACTCGCATCCGCCGAAGACACATTCGATCCGACTCAACCTACACCAGCTACAGTAAAGAATATGAATGGTGGATCATCAATCCAGGATTCATTGGAGCAAGAGCCACTCCCATCATCAGATTATGATGCATCATTCTGCCAATACGAAAGCGGTGAGGACGAAGAGGAGTTTCTGGTATGTACTATCTTGAGGAAGGGTCGTGACAGTGTATACTTTTCAGACTGACCGAGTATCAAATTTGATCGTTCAGAACCAGATCAACTCCGAGTTAGCCTTACAGTCAAGCTCTCTTCAAACTCATTCTCACTCGGACTCTCTGGCCCAAACAACACAATCAGATATGCATATCGTCTCGCGCAAGCGTAAGCAACATCCTGTAGTTGAAGACAAATTGTCTTCTTCCTCCAAACCTTACAACTCTCAACGTCGCCGGGGAAACAACGGAGCGGCCGCACTCGATCTTTTTGGGGACAAGATTCTCATGGGTTTAAAGTCAACTGTAGAAGAACCTCGCTCAAAGGTTGACCCAATTAGCCTTCAAGCAATTGCAAAAATAGAGGACATGGTGGAGCTTGGCCCGTTGGTTCAAGCAAAGATCATAGCCATGTTTGGCCAACATCCAGAGATGGCTGGAGTTTATATGGCAATCAATAATCCTGTACTAGCTCAAAATGTTTTGTTAGAGATGCTTGATCAGAACACCCAAAAGAAATGAATGCTTTCAAGTTGATCAAAGTTGATCAAATATATATGTAGTCACAAAATATAAATATGAACCTGGACTCTTTTAACATAAGTTGACATCATTTGAGATATTTGAGATATGCATGTAATATGTATAATTTATATGTATAAGTTACCAAGATCTGGTTTACCTTCGTCCTCTTCTCCTGGCCTCGGCTTGCTTCTTCTTCTGATAATCTGCCCACATCCTATTTGCAATCTCATCGCGCCATCTTGCTGCATCCGTATCATCATTTGCACCATCTTCTATTTCATAGCCATCTGCCAAAGTTGAACTAGAGTTATGTGGCAGTGGGTTTTCAGAAAGGGCTTGGAATTCAGGGAATTCAAGTTCGAGTTCGCTGCTGTCGTGGAGACGGATGAAGTTGTGAATTGCGCACATAGCAGGAACTAGTCGGACCTGAGTTTTGAAAGGATAGTAGGTCCCATGTTCCATGACTGTAAAGCGCTTTTTTGAAACCCCAAAGATGCGTTCAATCACCATACGTGCACTGGAATGTCTCAGGTTAAAGAGCTCTTCTTTATTTGCCGGCCTGAATTTTGAACACAATTCAGCAATGAGATTCCAGTAGCAACTGAGATTTCAAGACGTACTCCTTATCCTTGAGCCGGGACCACTCCTGAAGATGGTATCTAACTCCTCTATATGGAACTAAGCATTTTCGGCTGAGACTGAAGCCAGCATCCCCAAGGTAAAACTTGCCTTCAGGAACTACCAAAGATCTTTGACACGAGTC